GCAACCTCACCGGTCGAGGCCATCTCGACACCCAGAACGGGATCGGCACCGGACAGCCGCGAGAAGCTAAACTGCGGAACCTTGGCAGCAACGCAGCCCGGAGGGCAGTGGGTCTCGGGGTACTCCTCGAAAGGAAGGTTCATGATCGCCTTGGTGGCCATCTCGATGAGGTCAACGCCCATGACCTTGGAGACGAAGGGGAACGAGCGAGACGCGCGAACGTTGCACTCGATCACCTTGATGTCGTTGTCCTTGGCGATGAACTGAATGTTGAAGGGACCCGTGACGTTGAGCGCGTCTCCGATCTTGCGGGTGGCCTCCTCAATGCGCTGGATGGTCGTCTTCTCCAAGTCCTGGGGCGGGAGGATGAGCGTAGCATCACCGGAGTGGACACCGGCGTTCTCCACGTGCTCCGAGATGAAATGGCCGACGACCTTACCGTCCTTGGCTACGGCGTCCATCTCAATCTCCTTGGCGCCCTCAATGTACTTGGTAATGACGACGGGGTGCTCGGGGGAGACCTCGGCGGCCTGCTGCAGGTAGTTCTGCAGATCGCCTTCCGAGTAGACCGTGTTCATGGCGGCACCAGAGAGCACGTACGATGGGCGCACCAACACTGGGTAAGAGACCTTCTGGCAAAAGGCCTTCGCCTCGTCGAAGCTCGTCAGCTCCTTCCACGTCGGCTGGTCAACGCCAATGCGGTCAAGCATGCGAGAGAACTTGTACCGGTTCTCGGCGGTGTCAATCATCTCGGGCGACGTGCCGAGAACGTGCACACCGGCGCGCAGGAGCGGAAGGGCGATGTTGTTTGGCGTTTGGCCACCCATGGCGCCCAAGACGCCGCTCGCGGACTCGACCTCGTAGATATCCAGCACTGTCTCCACGTTGATGTTCTCAAAGTACAGTTTGTCGGCCTCATCATAATCAGTCGAGACGGTTTCCGGGTTAAACTGCAGGGTTGGGATTATGTTAGCACTCTCCGTGTCGAGCAAGTTCTTGGATATGAAGTTATACGTACATTAACCATGATGGTCTTGATGCCCGACGCGCGAAGCGTGCGGATGGCCCTGACGGAGCACCAATCGAACTCGACAGACGATCCAATGCGGTACACGCCTGAACCGAGCACCATGACGCCGTTGTCGTCAAACGTGATGTCGTGCTCGCTGGCGTTGTAAGTGAGGTACAGGTAGTTGGTGTAGGCCGGGAACTCGGCCGCGACAGTGTCGATCTGCTTCACGAGGGGGGTGATGCCAGCTTCGAGACGCATGCCACGCACGGCGAGCTCGGTCGAGCCCCAGAACTTGGCAATCTGGCGATCGCAGAAACCGAGCTGCTTGGCCTGGAGGAGAGTGCCCGGGCGGAGGGTGGCGCCGCCTGCCTTGAGGTCCTTCATCTTCTTGGCAAAGTCGTTCAAGCCCTTGAGCCTGTCGAGGAACCACTTGTCGATCTTGGTCAGCTCCCAGATCCTCTCAACCGAATAGCCGGCGGCCATAGCGTTGGCGATGGCAAAGAGGCGCTGGTCGGACGGGGTTTGGAGCTCATCGTCGATCGACATAAGCGCCGGGGTCTCGTTGAAGCCAAGGTTGTGGAAGTCAATAGCGCGGATTGCCTTTTGGATGGCTTCCTCGAATGTCCTGCCGATGCTCATGACCTCGCCGACACTCTTCATGGACGACCCGAGCTGGGTCGAGACACGGGTGAACTTCTTGAGATCCCAACGGGGCATCTTGACGACGACATAGTCGAGCGAAGGTTCGAAGCAAGCGCATGTGACCTTGGTGACGCTGTTCTTGATTTCTTTCAGGGGGATGCCGAGACCCAACTTGGCGGCAATAAAGGCCAGAGGATAGCCGGTGGCCTTGGAAGCCAGCGCCGAAGACCGCGACAGTCTGGCGTTGACCTCGATGATGCAGTATTCCCTAGAAAAGGGGTTCAGGGCGTACTGGATGTTACATTCGCCAACGACGCCGAGGTGACGGATGACATTGACGGCAGTCGTCCGAAGCATGTTGTAGTCTTCGTCGGACAACGTCTGCGAAGGAGCGACGACAATCGAGTCGCCTGTATGAATGCCGAGAGGATCAAAGTTCTCCATATTGCACACGGTAATACAGTTGTCCTGGCAATCTCTGACGACTTCATACTCGATCTCCTTCCAGCCCTTCATGCTGCGCTCGATCAACACTTGAGGGCTGGCGGCAAACGCCTTGTTGCAGAGATCGAGGAGCTCGGCGTCGTTGTTGGCGAAGCCACTGCCGAGACCACCAAGGGCATAGGCGGCACGGACAATGACGGGGAAGCCGATATCCTTGACGACCCGCATGGCCTCTTCGACGTTGTTGGCCGAAGCCGACTTGGCGCACTTCTCGCCAATCGAGTCCATGCTACGGGCAAAGAGCTCGCGGTCCTCGGTGGTGATGATGGTGTCGATGGGCGTGCCCAGGACCTGGACGCCGAGCTGCTCAAACTCGTCCTTGAGCTGGATGCCCACCGAGAGGGCGGTCTGACCGCCAAAGGTGCAGTAGATGGCATCGGGCTTCTCGTAGACGATGACCTTGCGCACAAACTCGGCATTGACAGGCAGGAAGTAGACCTTGTCGGCGAGACCCTTGGACGTCTGAATGGTGGCAATATTGGGGTTGATGAGGACGGTGTAGATGCCTTCCTCCTTCAGGGCTTTGATCGCCTGACTGCCCGAGTAGTCGAATTCACCAGCTTGACCAATGCTGAGACCACCGCTGCCGAGCACGAGCACCTTCTTGACCGAAACGCGCGGGTTTAGTCTATTGTTCTCCTCGACCGTGCCGCCGGGGAATTGGACGCCCGTTTGTAGTAGGCTGCTATCGGCGGCGCACTTGGAGACCGTCTGAATGAAGACATCAAACAGAAACTCGGTGTCCCTGGGGCCCGGGGTGCTCTCGGGGTGGAACTGTACACTGAAGTGCGGCTTGTCCATGTGCATGACACCCTCGTTGCTGCCATCGTTGGCGTTGACAAACAACTCCTGCCACCCGGTGGGCAGAGTAGGGGCATCGACGGCGTAGCCGTGGTTTTGGGAAGTAATGTGGCACTTGCCAGTCACCATGCTGGTGCAGGGGATGTTATGGCCGCGGTTACCGAACTTGAGCTTGACCGTCTTGGCTCCAGCGGCACGGGCGAGGAGCTGATGGCCCAAGCAGATACCGAAGATGGGAGTCCGGTTCTCTGACAGGGCAGCGGCGATGCGCTTGACTGTGGGCTCCATGATGGCCGGATCACCGGGCCCGTTGGAGAGGAACAAGCCATCGTAGGTCTCGGTGCGGAAGTCATAATCCCAGGGGCAGACCAGGACCTCAACGCCGCGCTTGAGGAAGCATCTCAGCTGGTTGTATTTCATACCAACGTCGAGACAGAGAATGCGGAGCGGGCGACCTGAAGGGTGGTTCAGAGCGGAGGCCGCAGCCGGGCGGTAGAGCTTGGGTGCCTTGATGGAGACTAGGCCAAGGTTAGTATGAATTTCATCCCGAGGAGTCTCAAAAGTCCTCGCTCACCCTCTGCTACGAGGTTCTTCTCGTTGGGGTTGACCCAGTCGACCGATTCAAAGTGGGGCTTCCAGTCGCCCATCTTGCCAGGGAGCTCGAAGCCCTCGGCGTCGCCATTGGCGCCATTGGCCAGGCCCTTATTCTCCAGAAGCATGCGACCAAGCATGCTTCCCTTCTCGCGGATGCGCTTTGTCAGGGCGCGGGTGTCGACGCCGTACATGGCGGGGATGCCCTGCTCCTTGAGCCATGTTCCGAGGGACGAGTTCGCGAGGAAGTGCGAGAAGTCCTCGCCCGCGTAGGTGGCGGTCACCAGACCGGCGATGTGAATTTGCGACGACTCGAAGTGGGCGGGAAGATCGCCGAGGAGCTCGTCGAGGGCGTCCCTCGGGGGGACACCGTAGTTGCCGACGAGGGGGAAGGTAATGACGAGAATCTGGCCGCGGTACGAGGGGTCCGTGATGGACTCGGGGTACCCCACCATGCCCGTCTGGAAGACCAGCTCGCCAGAGATGCTCTTGGGCGCGCCGAAGCTGTAACCCTGGTAGGCGGCGCCGTCCTCGAGCTCAAGGGTGACCAGCCCTTGGGACTCGGCGTTGGCGATGCGCGCCGTGGCGGGCCGGAAGAGTGTGGCAGCCATTGTTGCGGGTTTTTGTGATTGTGTGGGAGGCAATGCCCGTGAAGAAAATAAAGAGGGCGGGAGGAAAAGAGATGAGGAGGGAAAAGAAGTGCGAGTGCAAAAGCGAGAGAGGACCGGAGACTCGGGTTGCGAGTTGCAAGTCTGAGTCGCGTGGGGAGCTTGTGACAGAGCGAGAGCGGAAGCTCAGAGTCTCAAAGTGTCAAAGTCTCAGACGGGGGCTGCCAGAGCAATTGGCTTGGGATGATGCCAGAAGAGAGAGTTCTTTCACCCGCAGACTGTCATGATCCAGCTTCACCAGCCCTTCTGTATAGACAGGAGAGGATAGAAACAGTGGAGGCAAAAAGTCGGGCGTTGAAGAGATTTGTATCGACTTTCCCAAGTTGCCCCGCCTGCACGGCAAAACGAAGTCCCCCACCAAAACTTTTTTCAGGGCGGTGATGAGCTAGCGCGGGGTTTCCACAGCAGGTACCGAGTCTGTCCAGTTTTTTTGGCAGCGGCCAATCAGCGCGGCGGGAAGTGCTCTTGCGGGACCATTTGGGTCGAATTTGCGTGGGGTTCTCGACTCTGGCTGACAGGGTTCATGCCGCACCAAGCCCCAGCAAGCCGAATTCTGTGACCGCCTCGAGATGGGATTTTTCAGCTCCATCACGCACAGTTCCTGCATCGGCGTTTTGGTGTTTTCGAGACACCCTCACTTCACCCGGTTCCCACGAAGGAATGGGCCGGCCAGTGTCTGAAAAAAATAGCCTTCCGCTTTTGAATGAGTCCAATATGTCTCCTTTGAAGGAGAAATAAATAAACAAACTGAAAAAGCTCTCCTTCTTCGTCTCCTTGTATCTCGACCAACCCAGGACTCGAACCTGGAACCTCCTGATGTACTCATCGTAGTCAGACGCTCTGCCGATTGAGCCAGCCGGCCTGTGATGCTTGTGTGTTGAAACAACCGAGCCGTGTGGATGCTTATGAGGCGAGGGTGTCGGCGTTGTGCTGCATCGGGGGAGACCGGGGTTGCTGGAGATGCTGTCCGTCCTCCGTGGAGGTGGGTCTTCAATCCCGGGAATATCGGCGGCGAGTCAGATGACTAAGCTGTGGCATCTTTGAACCACAGAGCGGAAATCGGCAGCACAACGAGCACAGGTTATTATTACATGAGAGAAGAGATGATGTTTGCCAGGCGTTGGCTAGCCCCAATGGAGCTTTCAGTATAACATTGCGAACTTAGGGCTTGAGTAGCCCAATACCTAGGTATGGAAGGGACTGGTATCTTGTGTTCTAGGCCGTAGGAATTACACAGTATTTTGTCCTTAGGCCTTCTCTGGGCACTGTGGGGAGATATGGCCCTTGCTCAAGCCCAGTGGATTCCCAAGACCAACCCAATGCTGGATTCTGAGCGCCGTCATCCGACATCAAATTTCAGTCGCAGTCTCATGGCAGCCTCTTCGCAGTCTGGACCTGATCTTTGCGCCACAGCATCTGCATCCATCGTCAAGCGCACTGTACATGTAGGAGGATGCATCAGGTGCGTCCTCGCTAATGCGCGGCATGATCCGCGCGGATTTCCTCTTTCGCTGGAGCATTGCTACTACCTTACCCCGCCATCGCGTCTGCTGGGAAAAGACATGGGACGGCGGGACGGTGAGGATTACGCTACCGATACGCCAGGGCGGCGTGGGGGACAAAACATGCATGCCCTGTCTCTGGGACGACGATTTGAGTTTCAGATGATGGATGCGAGTTGATGAGACTGTCTTGTTTTCTGGAATTCCTCTTCGTGGGTCTGCTCAGTGGAACTTGCAGACCGGAGCACCCACAGCGACAAAAGACGAGACAGGATACTAGCCAGGATAGCCAGGTCTCACATGTCGATTCTTCTTTCTAGGTGCTTCAGCAGCTTGCGTCGGTCTGCCACTCTCTTCCTCTTCGGTCTCGCTTCTTATCTTTTTCTATTTCTGTTTCTTCCCCGTCTCCCTGCTCCTTTATCCGCGAGACAAAAAACAGAGAGACGATCGACATGGCGGCGGTCGCTGAGACTCGCAAGTAGGGTCGGCATGTGGAATGATAGGCCAGTGCAGGCCGGTGGAGCTGCAGCTGTCGCAGGAGGACTGTAACCTACCCTGAAAAGAACGACCCTGCAGCACCCTCACCGTCCACCGAAGTTGCGGTCATGGGGTGGTCTCGGAAGGGGAGGCATGTGGGCAAGCAGCATCGCGACATGCCGCGTTCCGCCCGGGGACTCTCTTCTGGCTGCTCGTCGCCCCCCAGCGAGGCAGCCTCCTCGCCAGCATTCTTGGCAACGCCCACTTGACCCCGCGATTCGTCGCTGTGTCTGCGCCCAACTGCCGCTTCCAGCTCCCCTATTCGCCAGGATGGAAGAATGGGAATGGGAATGGGACCGGCGGCCCAAGAGAGCACGCACTTCCGTGGGCCCGGTCTGGTCGAGGCAGCTTCCTTGGTTTTGCCAATGTACTGTATCCGGTTGGCGTCGTGGGAGGGTGTCGGCGTGTTTTAGCGCTGTGCAGGGATTCCCCAGCTGACCCTCCTCCTTACCACCCCCGTATCCCCGTACCCCCCGGGCCGTCGTCTCAGTCGATCGGTCGGTCGACGACAAGCCCCTTATTAGCCCGGTCCCACCTCCCACCCTCCCCGTTGCAACTTCCTGCACTGCTCGTCGCGTCCTACGCGCCTCACTTTTCCTTCTTCTCTGTGGGAGGACCATCGACGGACTCTGGGAGGGCTGGAAGAAGGGAGCATGCCCTATTAACCCGCCAATTGCTGCAGTTGCGGTTGTTGGTGTTTTCCTTGGCCTTGCCGACGGAAAGGAAACAGGACTGGACTGCGCGCGTTCGCCGGCCGTCCGAGCATCTACCCGACCGCAACCTCACAGTATTCGACACTTCTCCATGGCGTTTAGGCGTCTCTACTGACACGCCCGGCACGCTCAGCCACACCGGAGGATGTTGTCTGCCCTCCTACGACCCTTCAAGGGCGGCAGCCGAGCCGACGAGCATGCGGACCTCGAACAGGACGTAGCGTTCCGCCCCTCGATTGCCGAATACCGAAGCCATCCCCATGCCACAGCCGATTTTACCGAGGCCGACGACGACGATGAGGAGGAGGAGGACGAGGAGGAATCCAACAATGGCGAGCAGTCCCGCTACCATCTTGGAGGGCGTCCGGAGGACGAGGATAGCGTGCCTCGTTCTACCGGCCTCCTGCCTCTATTCTCGGCAAACCACCTGGGTGCGAAACCTCAGTTCATATAACTCAATGCACTCGCTGACCCCCAACGCCGTAGACTCGCTCCCCATATACAACATGACCCACGCGATTCGCATCATTGTACAATCAAGGACCGAGACCACGTTGACATGGGAACAGTTGAGGTCTCCCCAGGTATCCCAGTTTCTGGTCAAGCCGATGCAGCAGCAGATCCGCACTCAGCATTTCTCGCCCGGCACCCTCTACGCCCTGATGGCGAACTGCCTGCAGTTTGCGAAGGAGGGCCAGTTGTGCCCGGGGAGTGTGGGCACGAGTACAACCAGGGCAAGGGTGTGTGAGCTGCTGGCTATCAAGTTGCTGAAGGAGTACACCACTCGGGAGCTCATCGATGCCCTTTGCTACGACTTCTACCCGCTTCAAGGCATCTCGGGGTCACAGACCCCCCTCACACCGGGGGGAGGCGGACCAAAGTCGGCGACTCTCAGGACCTCGACCCTCGAAGTAGCCATCCGCGCCGCCGCCAAGCACTTTTTATCCCACCCATTGGTTGTGCAGCAGCTCGAGGCCATCTGGAACGGCGCCATCATCTTTTCGTCGCCCACAGAGCAGGCCCAACGTCAATGCTCTGCTTCGAGCGCCCCTGGAAGCAACCAATCCCGGCGCCAGAGCACCGTCCGCACTCCTTTGCTGGGTGACCAGCGGGCGAAAGAGGAGCCTGCCCGGTTCCAATCCTTCCCTGCCGGCCGGCGCGCTGTGACTCTGTACAACCCCCGGAACGCTTCCCCGTTCAAGCTGTCCCGGCTACGAGTCCCCCGGTACCAACGAATTCTCTCTACATGCTCCTTGATCGTCTTGATCTGCCTGTTCCTTGCTGTCCTGGGTCAGAGGTCAAGCAAGATTACGACGCTGGAACTGCTGTTTTGGTTCTGGAGCGCCGGCTTCATGCTCGACGAAATCGTCGGTTTCAACGAGGACGGCTTTTCGTTCTACATCATGAGCTTCTGGAATATTTTCGACCTGGGCATCCTGCTGCTGCTGATCGTCTACTACTGCATGCGCATCTATGGCGTCTTCCTTGTTGACCCCCACAACTGGAACCAAAACGCCTACGACGTCCTTGCCGTCAACGCCATCCTCTTGCTGCCCAAGATTTTCAGTGTGCTAGACCACTATCGCTACTTCTCTCGGCTGATGGTGGCTCTTCGACTGCTGGCGAGAGACCTGGCCGCCGTTCTCTTTCTAATCATGATCTGCTGCAGTGGCTTCTTTGTGTTCTTCGCCTTCTCCAAGAACCCAGAAGACGCTTCGGCGCTGGCCTACAAGATGTTCCAGATCCTCATGGGCTCCACTCCGTCTGCTTGGGAGATGTAAGTGCGGTACGATCCTGTGGACGAATGAGCATGCGACTGATCGGGCTTTCTAGGTGGCCGTCCTACAACTGGATGGGCAAATCTCTCATGGGCTTGTTTCTTGTCATCAGCCACTTCATAATTCTGTAAGCAGAGCGCGAAATCCGTTTTCGCAGCACAGCAAGCTGACCCCTGCCAGGACTATGCTCATCACTGTCATGACCAACTCGTTCATGTCGACCGCTTCCAGAGCGAGCCAAGAGTACCAGTACGTTTCGCAGCAACCCATCGCCCGCCTAGACTGACCGGTTTCCAGGTTCACTTTTGCCATCAATACCATCTCCATGGCGAAGAATGACGCGCTCTTCTCTTATGTTGCCCCCGGAAACATTTTTGCGTGGGCTCTGATGCCGCTGAGATACTGCCTGTCCCTAAAGCAATATGTCTGGCTCAACCGTGCCGTGATCAAGGCGACCCACGCCCCCCTATTGTTCTGCATATGCGTCTACGAGAAATGCTTCCTGGCACCCGACGTGTACGAGGCGACGGATTTGGTTGATAGACCTCACGGTGGTCACCAGCATGGAATCTCCGACCCAGCGAGCAGGTCGGCCTTTTTCAGCCCCAGCGTCCGAGTCCGCGAAGAATCGGTGGTTGGCTACCAGAAGGACTGCGCGCTCGAAGAGGTCTTCCGACACGCCCCTGGCATGAGGATGCAAAGGCGGAACGAGCGGCGGAAGACACAAACGGCAATCCGGAGCTGGATGGACCAACACGATGGGGGATTCAACTCGCCCCAGAACTATTCGACCATCAACAGCAGAATAGGCAGTGACTGGCTGAGGAGGTTGAGCATGAACCGCGAGCGACCCTCGAGGTTCCCGAGGCACTATCCCGACATCAGGTCGACAGCGAGCGATCCTGCCGATTTCATCTCCGATGCCCCGTACCCGATGGCGGCCGCCATCTACGATGACGGGATTGCACGAAGAGACCACGCTATCGAGGTGAAGGACCATACAGACGCAGAGGCGGACGGCGATGACGAGCTGGTCACGAACGACGAAGACGAGGGAGACGACTTGACCAACAACATGGACGACAGGGGCGTGACAGGGGAAGAAGTCATCGACGAGGACTATTTCACGACACCCATCGCCACCCGCTTCACCAACGCCGAGCTCGCGGCCGATTCCCCGCGCCCGGCCACCTCGCGACGGGTACCGCTCCACGCCCGGACCCTGTCCACCAACACCATCCTATACGCGCCCGAGGACGACGCCCAACCATACAGCTCCTCCTCGGCCTCGGGCTGGCCAACCTCGCGCCCCTTCTCCCGCCCCCTCAGCAC